ATCCCCTCGAGATTTGTGCTTGTATTTTTTTTAGTGTACTCAATTGTATTTTGCATGCATGCAGCTTCTACATGTTTTGGAAACACAGATATGGGGAAGATGGTCGTTCAAGTGCCAGATTCAATGTGGAATAATGGAGCGCTTTGTGGAAGGAGTCTGACAGTGAAATGTATTGATGATTCTCCTCACATTTGTAAACAACCAAATACAGCCACAGTCATCGTAACGCATCATTGCAGAAACTGTGACAATGATATAAGACTCTCCTACGATGCTTTCGGCTCAATTGCCCGCGTATCACGTCGTCGCCTTAAAGTTGATTATGAACTGTAAGTTTTTCTTATACAATCTGCCACACTAATTAATACTTAATTTGGTTTGTTTTATTAATAAATGTTTAATTATTTATTTAATAATTTGCTTGATTTTTATATTGTTTGCAGGATTTAAGGTGGCAGATTCCAGCTCTATTTCTCCGGCTGCATAACTTATCAATGAAGCAGCAATAAAATATCCTTAGATCTATATGTTCTCAGTCGTTTCAGTGTATTGCTAGACTACTTTGGTGAACGCGAATAATGATAATGTTCTTAATACATTGCCGGTTGCCACTGCAAGCCATCGTCACCGTCGGTTGCCACCACCGTAGATAACTGCCGCCGATCGCGACCACAGGAGGCCCTCGCCATCACCGACCGTCTTCGCTGACCACCTTCGCCTGCATCTTTTTGCATTCATAATTTACGTAATACCTCGAATACTTTGAAATATATCATAACATATATTTTACATTAAATGTATTAAGATTAGTGATAATGTCAATGTAATTTAAAATTATAGGGCTATATAAATAAATATTAAGCCAATTTTTTACATTTTGTACCCAAATTAACCTCATAAAAGTTAAAATACACTTAAATTATAGGGCTATATAAATAAATATTATGCCAAATTTTTACATTTTATACCCAAATTAACCTCATAAAAGTTAAAATACACTTCTTCCTTATTTTGGATAATGTTTATAGTGCATTACAATTTTCATATGGGAAAAAATAAAGAGCATAATATAAATTTTGAGTGTAGATGAATGGTGTTACACTTCAAACGCAAATATTATTTTACATTTTTTCGATATTTTCGGTCAAGATTGTGAGATTCAACAATAAAGGGCTGTTGAGAATTCGAGTTCGAGCCAAACAAGGTCAGCACGACATTAGCTCGAATGGATTGAGTTCGGCTAAAAATTGGGCCGTGACTCGTCATATTCGACTATGAGGCAGCTCGAGTCGAAATTGAATATATCAACCTTCCTCCGGCTCAAAATCGGAATTATATGGCTCAAACACTACAGGAACAATGCTCATATCCGACGGTCACATTCACATTTTGTCGGCTATCTACAAAAATACCGTCGTTTTTCATATTTCAACGGATTTAAGGTCGTAGCTAAAATGATTGTATGTAATTTTCAAACTGATTGATATTTGGACGAGATAAACTTAACGATGCATAACTGACAATTTTGTGTCATTGTTTTCTTTGAGTAATTTCAAAGCTTCGGCTTTCGTCGCTTCATATTCCCGACGATTTTATCTGTCGACAATTGTGACTGCTTTCACGACATTAAAATGTTACGTTTGTTACTTTTTTTGACATAGGCGTACCATCGGTTCGGTGTCACTCATGAGTTAGTTTTGATAACTGATGGACAAACGATTGAAAAGTGTCGCAGTTGTTATTTTTTTATGGCGCAGTTTGGTCGTTGATTCCATATCGATTAGGCATCAATGAATGAGTCCATCGGCTAGCCGTCGGTTATGGCGACTACTATGTTAAAAGTAGTTGTCAAACCTCGCCGATAGGCTGTCAAAAACCTATAGCAACACAAAAAAATAGGTCACTCTTATTTACATTACCACATATGTTATCACAATATTTAATTTGTAAGTCAAAGCATTTAACAAACTAAACTAGCATTCGAACAATAAATTATCCAATCAAATAATAAAATAAATACAATGCATTCAATCAAACATAAATATATCACTCTTCTTAGAAAAAAAAATATGTTCAAATATACAACATAATCATAAAAACAAAAAAAAGATAAATATCCCCCCTAATCCTCCTCTTCTATCTCCTCATCCTCCCCTGCCTCTACCTCCTCCTCAAATCCTGCCTCTTCCACAGCCGGAACAAATCTAACTCGGCCTTCAGCTTGACCTTCATGTTTGCATCTAGCTCCGACCTCATCTGAGTTAAGTGAGCCTCCATCTTGACAGTGAATGTGTCAACATGCCTAGAGACCTCTTCATGTGAGGTAGAGGTAGAAGCTGCAGATGCAATGGTGGAGGATTGAGCATTGTAAACAGACATCTGTGACTCGAGCCCATAGACTCAACACTTCTTCCTCCATCCAACAACCTCCCTCCACAGGTTGTACTTGGAAGGATCACAATTGTGGATTGTAATACCACCCGACGCCTAGAATCGGCTATCATTCACAATAGAGGAAAACTGTGAATTAACATCTGAATTAGAGTCAAAATTCTTTCCAACATAAATTTAGCGACCGATTAGTGTTCATTTAGTGTCATCACGTGGTTCCGCTTCCAAAAAAATCGACGCGGACGAGTTGCATAGAGAAAAAGATGTTAAAATGATGCTATTATTTTGGATTAGCGCCCACTATGGACGACGCTAAGGCAGATGCAAGATCGCCAAAATAGGTCTCCCGTGAGCAGCCGCTCCACCTCGTGCCTCAATCTCATTTTTGTTCTCATTCGGCTCCTCTGTTGCCTCCGAGCTCCTCCGTCGATTTCAGGTCGAATTCATCGTGCCAACCATGCCGAAAGTGAGAAATCTTCTTTCACGCCTTCAAGCTTTGTTTTCGCATAAGTTTTCATATTTTTCCCCTTGCATGGTCTCGTCCTCACAAAATTATGGATGTTGGCTCTAAATTTAAGCATGAAATTATATAGAACTATGTATAGAACAATTTAAAAGATATGACTTTTTATTCCAATAAAATCACACCAAATGTTGGTGTTTGTACAAGGTCTAAATTTTCTACATGATGTGTTCATGAGCATGAGTGGCATGATGTGTGATAATTAATAAATATTTTTGATGCATGTCGGAAGATTCGCGGTAGTAGAGTAATTATTTAGCATCTTAAAGTTGAACAAAGATTCTACACACACTAATTAAAGTGACAAGTAGAGATATCATAACTTTTTAAGTGGAAAATCCTAAAAAAAGGGAAAATTCACAGAGCGCCCATTTGAAATAATCCAATATGCAATGCTCAGTACAGTGTCGACTCTTCTTCTCAGATAGGGAAGATGAAATTATAAAATTGATGCACAATGATATTTCAACAATAATAGTCGTAATAGAGCGTACATGAATGTTATAAAATGTGGTTGGTGTGTCAGTTTATCTTAGATGTCCCAGTTGAAAGTTGTGGTTGTAGTTGGTAGTGTCATTTTACCACAAAATTTATAATAAAGAGCTGCACAATGTGTGATAACTTACATAGGCAATATAGGCCGGAGTTAGGAGCTGCATGAGCTGTGATAATCTCAGCTCCTTTTTTCTAATTCCCAAGTTTCCTCCAGTTCAAGGATCAGCTCTTTCTCCCCTTTTATTAAGAAGGGAAGGGCTTTATTTATCCACTTTTGGAGAGGGCTACCAATAAATAAGGAATTCAAACAACTCCATCAAATAACCTAGAGAGAACCCCTTAATCGAGCAACTATTTGAGGACGTTTGAGTATCTTAATATTGTCAGAATTAAGTGATATTTGACTCGTATGATTCTTCTCATTGAGATGCTTGATTCGACTAGAAGATTATCAAGTTTGGAATCCATTTGGCATTCCAATTAGACACTGATGTTCGTCTCATCAAACTACTGTAAGTTCGTTGAAATCAAAGTTTTTGATGATTTTAATTAAAGTAGGAATATTTCATACTAAAAAAATTGCCTCAAAGTTCGCACAAGCCTCAAAGATTCGTACCAGTTGATGAAGATTTTTGCTTGGAATTCCAGACACAATTTTTTTCATCGTGTTTCCTTCCAATTCTTAATAAAAACTAACCATTTTTTAAAATTAAAACGGGCCTCTCGGAGAACCAGTTCAAAGTTGAACCGATCAAACCAATCAATTCGTTTCAATTTTTTGACGATACCTACCACTTTGAAGCCGCAAAAGACTCATAATTTTTCTTTAAAGATACTAATTAATTTACTTCTTCTTTTCATTTTTCCACCTTGAAATGGGGTGTGATGCCTTTTTTTCTAATTATTTGTCTTACTTCTTGCATAAACATACCTCCTCACAATCAATTATTATAATTAAAACTCATATAATCTTCTACTATAAATCAACATTATGAGTCTTCACAAACACAAAGCACATCAATTAAACAGACTAAGAATGTATCAGATGAATCATGCAGCTGTTGCTTTGGCCGCTGCCATGTTATTATGCTCTTTATCTCCTGCCTTTACAGCTGAAACAAACGCCACCTTCATACTCCCACCTTATATTCGTGAGTTCTATTATATATATATATAGTAAAAGTTTCGTGGTATGTACGTAAACTTCCAAATATTAAAATGGAATTTGCATGCAGCGTCTGCATGCTTTGGAAGCAAGGATATGGGGAATATGATCGTCGGAGTATGTTCGTAAATTTCCAAATATTAAAATGGAATTTGCATGCAGCGCCTGCATGTTTTGGAAGCAAGGATATGGGGAATATGATCGTCGGAGTGGGGGATTCAATGTGGAATAATGGAGGTATTTGTGGCAAGAAGCTGAGTGTAAAATGTATTGATGAGGGTTCAAAATGCAAAAGTTTGGCGGCCATTGAAGTTACCGTTGTGGAACTTTGCCGGGGCTGCCCCGACTCCATTATTCTCTCTCTGCAAGCTTTTGAACTCATATCCTCCCAAGACGTTGGAGTCGTTAAAGTAGATTATGTTCAGTAAGATCGTCTCTCTAATTTTGCTTCTTTTTTATCCCAATAAGAATTTTATAAAATTACACACACACACACACACACACACACGCACCTAGTAGTGTGAACGAGCAGAACACAAGAGTCTGAGCAGCCCGCGCTTGTTCAGCTCATTAAAAAATACTACTATTCGTGTATGACTCGTTCATATTTCGAACACAATAAATTTATTCGTGTTCGGCTCATTTGCTTACCGAGCTGAACAAGAACTGTTCTGAACACGAACACGAAAAAAAGAAACCATTTTGACATTCCTAATCATGCATACAACTGTTAGAGGAGTAAACAAGCCGAGCTTGAGCGAGTTCAGACTCGACTTGTTAAAAATATTATTGTTCATGTTTGACTCGTTCATATATGGAAGTCAAAAAATTTATTTGTATTTGACAAGTTTGCTTATATCGAGCTCAAAAAAGCTATTTTTACAACCCTAATCACATAGTTGTAAAATGTTAAGGATAGAGTGAGTTTTAAATCTCGTTATTTATATTTAAATATTTATTTAGGTAGAATTTAATATATTTTTATTCTATTTTATTTAGTCATTTTAATTAATTATAAATTTTTGTGGCTATATATATATATATAAATATATTATGTTTATTTATTTAATTAGAGCCAAAATGAGCCGAACAAAAACAAACAAAACAAAAAATTTTTAGTGTTTGGCTCGTTTATATGCGGAGCGCAAAAAAGAGTTGTTCGTGTTATACTCTTTTGCTCAACAAATGAATTGAATATGAGCTATTTAACACGAATTGTTTGAGAATAACGAGCCGATCGACGATCCTATCGGCAGGGCCAATTTTTTTTTTTTTTTTTTTTTTTTGTAGTGTTGCCAAAATAATAAACAACTGCTACGAATTGCTTCATTAGATTCATTTTCTGTGTTTTGCAGGGTCTGAAGTGCCAAACAGCAATTTAAGGTTCTCTGCTGCAGAGAGGAGGAATAAAGTTTTTACTTAAATATCAGCACTTTTAATAAATTTACACATGTACCCCAGTAAATCACATTGTGATTGAATGCGAGAGTATATTTAATGAGGGAGATTGAAATGAAACTGTGCGCTTGCTTGATCTTTCTTTCTTCATCACAAAAGTTATTATTATTATTTACATGAAATGGTTGAAGGAAATGATCGAGAGAGGAAAATAAATAGGTTTGGTAAATACTGAAAAACATGGATAGGCCTGCGGATATGAAGACGTCTTGTAAAGTGATTTTCATGACATAAATTGGAGAAGTGCGGTCCAAATAAAATCAGATCATGTTCAACCGGAGAAAATATGTACGAAAGGGCTTACGATAGCATCTGAAACAAAAGCAAAATAAATTTTTTTTTTTATTCTGGCTAGGTTCAATGATAATACTTCCCAGGATAACATATCCACATGATCAATTATATATATCATCGAAGATGCCCAGGAAGTCTCTTGATAAAAGATGTTGTGGTTGCTTTATATGCAACCCATTCAAAAGGATATCAATGAGATTTTATTCATCTCAATAGGGGAAATCTCCTGTTGTCAAGGCTAAATTAGGTTATCGGGTAGATGATGAATGATCATAACTCAATGTATAGTCACCTCTCAAAAAAAGAGGGTCTATGAAACAATCATAAAGTAAGTCAAAATGAGTAACCGTGAGCCAACCTCAGGGTTGGGGCCTTGACTCCACCAACCATGTGTGGCACCACAACCGTGGTAATGAGCACAACAATATTAGGCCAACATGCGACCTACAACTTTAAATAATGATATTAATGCGTAGCCATAAAATCCCAATTTGTTATAAATGGTTATTGTTGATTTGATTAATGTCACATTCATCCTAGCTAATTGATGGAGTGTTGTGATGCTAATGGGTCCGTTCATATCAAATATATCGATTCACTATCAATGTAATTGATGGAGTATCACGGTGCAGTGTTATGATACGTGTTAGATTTTTGAACCGTCTAGGTAAACAATGAAAAATCAACCATTTCACACAGTGAACAATTAATATTGAGCACCCAAGTGCTAGACAATGACGTCACAACTCTCATATATGGTGTTACAACGATGTCTAGAAGCACTGCGACGATGCTCCAAGAGTTGAAATGTGCTCTCAAAACTGAGCACAAAATGCCTAGGCGCTAGCTAAAGAGTGTGGAGGCGCTACATGAGCACGCCACGACTTCGACCTTGAAGATAGAATGGTGTAAAGAGCTCCATATCTTTCCATATCTTGGCGCTTCCATATCTTGGCGCTTGCCTAACGACGCGACAATGCTGACATGGCCTTAACATTGCCTTGCAACGTAGTGGTGCCTTATTCTTCCTAGCAAATGATTTAAAATATGTGTGCAAGGAATGATGGGTTAGGTCTCTAAACTTTGCATAAAGTCATGACATCAAAATGAGCCAAAAAAATGATGCAAATATTCATATCTTTCAATTATTACCAATCACCCATCACTAGAGAGTCCTACAACTATTCCTCTTGTGATTGCTTTTTTTTTGGATTTTTTTTTTATGGGAGCTCTAGAATATGCCCAACCAAACTAAGCTCCTCTCCTTGCCAAATTATGTCTGACTAACTTCACTAAAGTTTGGTCTTATTGATGATTAGTGATCACTAGTTGTTCTTCATTATAAAGGGAAGTTCACATGCATGCCTCCCAATTCTAACGAATTTATATCTAACAACTAAACTTTGATATTTACATTTATAACACTTCGGTTTTATAAATCTATACATGAAAATGTGTATCTCAATTTTAAAAAGTTATTGGTAAACATATTTTTTTTATTTGATTTACAAATATGAATGGTATGCATGAATATATTAGAGTTTTGGTGTTAGATATCTAAATATATAAAATTTGTATGAAATGCATGTAAATGCCCACATTATAAATATCCAACTTGCGTCCATTACTACTGTCTAGTTGGTATCTCTCTGCTAGATCTTTTTAGGACGTAAGATTCTGTAAAGTTCATGAATTCATACAATTTGGGGGTTACCATATAAATATGAGTGGAGACTGTGAAAAGGGATAGAACTCTAGCTCGTGTATGCCACGCCTAATGTTCCCCCTATTTTCTTATTTTTTTTAAGGGAATAAGGGCTCCTAATTTTATTGCTTAAGATGTGTCCTTATTCTCATAGAGCTATAAGAAAAAAAGAAATAAAGAAATATTATATCATAAGTTGTATTCTACAAAGCATAGATGAGATTTGTTATAGAAAAAATATCATCACGCGTGTAAGGGGGCTCATAAATGGGTATAGACAATGATGGATTGGAGCCTCATTTTTTCTGCCCTCTAGATAATTTTGAAGGATCGATATATGAACTTCGCAATGAAGCTTGATAAATGCAGATAAGCTTAAGAAGTATGGGCGAGCTTGGAGGAAGAGCTTGCTAGATCTTCTTGAGAAATAATTATAGTAGCTATCACTTTGATGAAATTAATCGGTGAATACAATCTATAAGCCATAAGCTCTCTGTGCATGATACCGTCCATATTTCAGAAAGGAGGCTTGAGGGGCTTGATCCAATAGGCCCAAAAAGCCCATTTACATGTGGGCTTCTTCGATAGCTTAAGAAAATCATTTTTGGACGTGCCCTCTCATTGAAACCTAGTCAATGGTAGAGTTAGGGAACATTACTACTGTCTAGTTGGTATGTCTCTGCTAGATCTTTTTAGGACATAAGATTCTGTGAAGTTCATCAATTCATACAATTTGGGGGTTACCATATAAATATGAGTGGAGACTGTGAAAAGGGATAGAACTCTAGCTCGTGTATGCCACGCCTAATGTTCCCCCTATTTTCTTATTTTTTTTAAGGGAATAAGGGCTCCTAATTTTATTGCTTAAGATGTGTCCTTATTCTCATAGAGCTATAAGAAAAAAAGAAATAAAGAAATATTATATCATAAGTTGTATTCTACAAAGCATAGATGAGATTTGTTATAGAAAAAATATCATCACGCGTGTAAGGGGGCTCATAAATGGGTATAGACAATGATGGATTGGAGCCTCATTTTTTCTGCCCTCTAGATAATTTTGAAGGATCGATATATGAACTTCGCAATGAAGCTTGATAAATGCAGATAAGCTTAAGAAGTATGGGCGAGCTTGGAGGAAGAGCTTGCTAGATCTTCTTGAGAAATAATTATAGTAGCTATCACTTTGATGAAATTAATTAGCGAATACAATCTAGAAGCCATAAGCTCTCGGTGCATGATATCGTTCATATTTCAGAAAGGAGGCTTGAGGGGCCTGATCCAATAGGTCCAAAAAGCCCATTTAGATGTGGGCTTCTTCGATAGTTTAAGAAAATCATTTTTGGATTTGCACTCTCATTGAAACCTAGTCAATGGTAGAGTTAGGGAGAGGTAGTGAGTGACTATAGCATCTAAGGGTGCATTTGGAGTAGCGGTGTGGTGGCATTACACCGCAGTTTTGATTTTTCAAAAAATTATAGTGGAAAATCGTGTTTTGCAATCTGACCTGACTATGTGCGGTGGCTGTTAGAAAGAAGTTTGATATTAAGAAAAAAAAAGATTGTATGAGCCACTTTAGCATTTTTAACATCATTTCTTCTTCTGAATTAACTTCATAACTACTTTAAAAAGCTTTGGCTATCCCAAACAGATCCTAAATCTTTATAGTTGACTTTTCCCTCCTGTGATTACTTGATTCAATGAATCTTAATAGTGTAAAACAAGAGACACATGGTATGTAGATGTATATATTTATATAATACTAAAAGCCCTTCATTCAAGCAATATGTTTGTATTAGATATGTAGATACATAAAAATTGAAATATTAAAATATATGCTATAATTAGATATGTATATATATATATATATACACATAAAAACTATATGATATATATGTAAATCGTTAAAATAAAAATATGAATAATTAATTTAGACTATAAGTTTTAAAATAATTTCATTAATTATAAAGATAAATTTAATTATTTTGTTAATATGTATATTAATTAATTAAATAATTAAAATTTTATCAATTATAATATTATTACTTTAATTACAATCAATTAAAATAAATTATAATTTTAATCTATATATTTTTAGTTAATTAATATTAACTAATACAATAATATTAATATTTTTAAAGTGCATAACCCTCATCTTCTAGGCTAGCATTTAAATCTCAAAAAGTAGTATAGTTTTATAGATATCTAATCCGATTAAATACTGCAAAATCTAATTAAAACTAAATTAAAATCATATATTATTAATATAATTATTAAATCTGATTAAAATTAATTAAAAATTTTATTTAGAATTAAGCTAATCAATTATTGATTATTATTGAAATAATTAATAATTAATAGTAAAATGATTAAATTATTTTATATTAAATAATAATTTAATATTCGTTAATTAATAAATGTTTATTTATTGATTAAATTATTTTATAATTAGTTATTTTTATTAAATGAATTAAAATTTAATATGTAATTTTATTTTTAATAATTAATTATTAAATAAAAACTTTTAATTTGTTTCATTTTATTTTATTTGTATTTTAATTTAAAGTAAAACATTTTTAATCTGATATAAAAAATTTAATTATTTTTAAAATACTCAACATAATGTTTTAATGTTTGTTTTGAATGTTTTTCAAAATAAGTTAATTTATTTTTAAAATTTTAAAATACAAAAAATTCATCAAATAAATATGAGTTAAAAATTAAATAAAAATAAAATAAACCCTAAGTAAGCACTTAATTAATAATTAATTATGAATCTCAAATTGATGAAAATTAGCATAAAAAATGAAATTAAAACCACAAGACTATCTTCCCCCTAGCTCTCTCCAACGGAAAAAATTTGCGTGTGATAGACGTATGCAGCGCTGCGTACGATATTGAGGTTATACCGAGGGTACAAGGGGGTTGTATATACAGTATAACCCCTTGTAACCTCCTTGTAACCTTCTGTAACCTACCTGTAACCTAAAATAAATTTCACGTTTCTATTATCATATATTAAGAATTTATTAGGAGATTATAGATAAGTTACAAAAGTTTACAGAGAGGTTATAAGGGATTATACCGTAGATATAATCCCCTTTAACCTCAATATCCTGAAAAAATATTACCTCAAAAATATTAATTCATAAGTACTCAAATAAAGAGATATCACGTGATAGTACGGTGAGATCATAAGTGACAGCTCTCCTGAGCTAATATTTTTTCGAACAGCGCGCTGCAAACTTTTTCCTCTCCAACCCTAAACACCTCGCCGAGTGCGCCGAATTAGAGAGCCGAATTACGTCGAACCGAACGCTCGCCGAGAAGACAAGACGAGATCGCCGCGCACACAGGCCTCCAAAACTCCCATCTTTCTCCTCCTTCCGCTCCCCTTCTTCGGCGATGGCCGCCGGCGAAAAGGAAAACGCTGCGAATGGTAATAATCCATAACTTTCCGATCTCTCTTCCGAATTTCTCCGCCGCAAATTCTAATTTTTTTCCCATCAGAAACCCCATTGCCGGAAACTACCTTCTTCTCCGACAAGTCGGCGAAGGTATTCGTAGCTGGACACCGCGGTCTGGTTGGCTCCGCTATCCTCCGCCGTCTGGTTTCTCTAGGGTTCACAAACCTCCTCCTCCGCTCGCGCACGGAGCTCGATCTCACTCGTCAGTCCGAAGTCGAGTCCTTCTTCTCCGCCGAACGCCCTCGTTACGCCATTCTCTGCGCCGCCATGGTAGGCGGCATCCACGCGAACTCCACTTTCCCCGCCGATTTCATCACCGTTAACGTCCAGATCCAGACTAATGTCATCCACGCAGCCTACCGCTGCGGATCTGTGCGCAAGCTCCTCTTCCTCGGCTCATCCTGCATCTACCCCAAGCTCGCCCCGCAGCCCATACCTGAATCTGCACTTCTATCAGGTCCGCTTGAACCTACCAATGAGTGGTACGCTATTGCGAAGATCGCCGGCATCAAAATGTGTCAGGCTTATCGAATCCAATACTCATGGGATGCTATCTCTGCAATGCCCACTAATCTGTATGGACCTAATGATAACTTTCATCCTGAGAACTCTCATGTTTTACCAGCTTTAATTCGTCGATTCCATGAGGCTAAGTCCAGTGGGGCGAAAGAGGTGGTGGTATGGGGAACCGGTTCGCCATTAAGGGAGTTTCTGCATGTAGATGATCTTGCTGATGCAGTGGTTTTCTTAATGGATCGGTATTCAGGGCTAAGTCATGTTAATGTGGGGAGTGGGAGAGAGGTGAGCATAAAGGAGCTGGCTGAGTTGGTGAAAGTGGTGGTTGGATTTGAGGGAGAGTTGGTGTGGGATTCCACAAAACCTGATGGAACACCAAGGAAGCTGATGGATAATTCTATGTTGGCAGCCATGGGATGGCAGCCGAAGATCGAATTGAAGGAGGGGCTTATAGAGACTTACAGGTGGTACTTGGAGAATGTTGGGAAGGAGCAATGATACAGAAATATTAAGCTTCATATTCATCTTTCAATCATTATCAAATTGAGTTTTTTATCTGCATTTCAATTCTATTGTTTGTGTAATTCATTGAGGTTCTTATGTCAATTAATTATGTTGTTTTTCACTCTTTGAAGGATCTTACAGTTGTGCAAGTGATTGAATAATCTATTTGCAGGCAGAAGAGCTCTTGATTATTCCTCTATTTTGATTTGTATGTAAGTATATTAACTCAATACTAATTAGATTGTTTAGCTGTGCTGCACATCTTTTTATTTGCATAAAATTTTCTTGGAGAATGGGTGATGATTTTCTTAGGGACTGTTTGGTAACGAATTTAAGCAGGATTTAACTTAAATCTTGCCGGACTGAAAAAATGGCAAATTTAAATATTGGATTTATTAAATCCAATTAATTTGCCTTAATTCCTAGTTTTACTAAATCTTTATGTTGGCAGGAGTTGAAAAATCCAAATATGTAGGATTTATTAGAGTTGCTAAAGCCGTTACCATACAACCCCTTGGGCGGTGTTTGGCTACGACTTGGTTTTACATTGAGTAGGATTTATCAGCTCTAGTGAATTTGGATTTATTAAACTCTCTGCAGGCGGAGATTGACCTCGCAAGCGACAACTCAACAAATCCTGTAAATCCGCCTTGTAATTGGATTTAATGAATCCGGATTTCCTACGTAAAGTAAACGGAACACGAGTAGCATAGACGAACGTTAGAAATTTTGATTTATCTGAGCTTTGGATTTAATTTAATATATTTTTTATGTTTGGCTGGGCTTAAGTTAAATCCATGGCTAAATTCACTAAACAATTTGTTACCGAACACCCCCATTAGTTTGACATGTTCACATTAAGATAGAATGATATGTAAATTGTGAAGATCGGTATAGATTACAAATACTATTTTGTGATAATTTTTAAAGAGTAAGATTTTTGTAGTTCTATCAAAATACTGCAAAACCTGAAAATTTCTCTTAAATCACTTCCATATCGTGCCCTTCAGATTAACATTTTTATATGTTGTTCATCGTGGATTATCTGAGATCATTCTTTGTTAAATTCAGTGCCCATAATCCATGTATTTTTCTTTTTTTTTTAAATTTTCTCGCTCGGGAGAATTATGGGTTGTTTAATGTTGTTTTAAGGCTGGAATGCATGGCTTGATTTCATCCTGTTCTTTCAATTGGTCTGCACTTGTTTCTGATTATTATGGCACTTGGGGTGTTTGACTGCAGTTTATTCAGATAAGCAGCTTATCCTGAAGTACGACCCACGGGGCTCTACCCTCGGCTCGTTTTTCATGTAAAAACCCAATCATGTTTTTGGATAAGCTGTCAAAACGCTTTTTCTAAACGGTGAGGCGGCGTTTTCAAAACGCCGCCAAAACAGATAAGCTGCCCCAAACACACCCTTAAAAAATGATAGCATGTGTGTCATATTGAGAAAAATTTTTGTTGGATTACCAGTCTATTCTTGTTTGACGGTTGTGTTAGGAAAGCTTGAAGTTCTAAAAGCCGTCTGTCTTCCATAGTCTGGATGGCGCAGATGCCAGAGAAGCCGAGATCGAATATTTTTGTGCCAAATGACAATTTGAACTCCTCTCCTGTCATATGACAATCTGAACTTTTCTCATGCTCACCATTTTTTATCTGGAATAAGAGCTTGGGGTTCCCTTTTTTTTTTCCTAGGCTGTAATGATGATAATATCATGGATGTGTTCGGAATTAAGATCGATTTTTACGGTCCGTCGTTTGTTGTTATGACATGCATACCACATAATTCTTTTTTATTTACACATCTAATACCTAAAGTTTGATATTCATATGCTTAACTCTTTGAAGTTACTAGCATATATATGAAAAAGTGTACTTCACTTTTAAATGGTAGTAGTGATAAAGTTAGTCATGTATGTAAATATTAAACTTAACATTATTGTTGTAATGAATCTCAATTATTAGGCTAGGTAGACCCGGTCTACAAGGGGAGGCCCCTTCTATTATAAATAGAAGAGGTGGCTTGTAGGGGAGGGTTGAGGGGAAAGGAACCAAGGAGTGAGAACTAGGAGGAAGTAGAGAAGAAAGGGAGAGGCTTCAAGGATTGAGGGGAGAATCTTGGGGATCTAGGGTCGAGGTGAGTCGAGAGAGAGATCTGGAGCATATTCCTCAATAGTGTAGAAGTCTTTTAATTCTTCTCTATTATCTTAGTGGATTTGGTTGATTCCCTCCCGTGGATGTAAGTCCGAGGGACCGAACCACGTAAATCCTCTTGTTTGCTTGTGTTCTTGCGTTTGCATCTTCTTTATTGTGATTTGTGGTTTGTTCTTCTTGTTTGCTTGTGTTCCTGTGTTTGCATCTTCTTTGTTGTGATTTGTGGTTTGTTCTCTTGCCAAGATTGAGGAAAGAAAGTGTTTTTCCCACAACAATTATATATATATAAACTTGATGAGTAATATTTCGAGCCAAAACGAGCCGAACAAGAACGAACACATCTTAGTTCGTGTTCGGCTCGTTAACTTATCGAATGAAATTAACGAGCCGAACACGAGTTGTTCGCGAACGAGCCGTTTTGACAGCCCTAGTGATATGGATATCGTTGCTTGACAATTTTATATATTATTTGTGTAAAATTCTTGTATTTGAAAACATAAATTTAAAATCTTGCAATAAGGTCATAATATGTAGTACTTCACCAAATAAAAGAGAAAATATGCATGGTCATACATCATGTATTATTCAAATTACATTAATTAGCACTTAAAATTTTTATATTTACGTGCATAGACAGAAATATCAACCAATTTTGAAAAAATTATATACATAGGTCTTTTAACTATAGATGAAAAGATGAATTTGACTATTAAATTGTGACAATAACAATTATTTTTCATATGATATTTGAAATCATGAAAGTTAAGTATGACTGTATGAGATAAATAAATATGAAAGTTTTGAATGATATGTATATAAAAGCCCCGTCAATTTCTATATATTTACATATCTTACATATAAAATTTGATATTTATTCTCATGACAATTAAATATTTAATATTGCATAAAAACATCATTATACACCATTTTCATGTCTAACTTGGCAAAACATTTTATATAAATAACACAAGAATTATGTGTTATGTATTGAAATTTTCTTATTATTTTTTTTACTATTTTTAATTAAATGAGCCATAATTTCTTAAATTTACATATAGAATATTAAAAAAAGATTTACATACCTATCACTTAATTCCTATGTGGTATTTGTCATATAAGTTTTAGTTGTTATATATATGTCTCAAAAATAGTTCGCGTTCTCATTTTAGTTAGTAGAGCATCTATTTCAGCGGTGTAATTCCTCTGTAGATTGAGATTTAAATCTCCCCAAGTTAGATATCAGCTATAAGTGGGTGGTACTCGAATGATTAGTCACATGAGTCCAACTCAGACCTGACAAATTGCTAGCCTGAGTAGTCGGTGGTTTTGACTATCAACCATCTTTATATATATATATATATATTTGACAAAAATATTTATTTTCATAATTAGCAAAAATATTCATTTCCATCAATTCAAATATTACAAATTGTACTTGTAATTTTCCTTCATCTATTTCAGCGGTGTAATTCCTCTGTGGATTGAGATTTGAATCTCCCCAAGTGAGATATCAGCTATAAGTGGGTGGTACTCAAATGGTTATTCACATGAGTCCAACTCAGACCTGACAAGCTGCTAGCCTAAGTAGTTGGTGGTTTTGACTATCAACCATCTTTATATATATATATATATCGCAAAAATATGTATTTTCATAATTAGCAAAAAATATTCATTTCCATCCATTCAAATATTACAAATTGTACTTGTAATTTTCCTTCTACTTTTTATTTAAAAATATTATTTTCAAAGCTGATTGGACTTTTTAGTCCAACATAATAATTACACCTTTCGGCATTATTCAAACCATCCCATCAAACAAGAAAAACTGAAAAAATAATTAAAAAAAAAAAATGCTTAAGGTCTTTAACCTTAAGACAGGGCGGCGCGCTGAGCCTAAAATTAGCTTCACATTCCCCCCCTTTCGCCGGTGAGCTTCCACCTTCTCCGGCTTTCTCACCGCTCGCCGGCGAACAGTTGTCGGATTTTTGCGGGATTGTACCACCAAGAAATCACCGGTAAGCTTGTAAATCGGTCTTGCCACAAAGTGAGCGTGGGCTTCTTGTTACGACAAGTATGTTGTGCTTTTGAATCTCTGATGCTAGGGTTTAACCTCTTGATAGGGTTGTGATTTAGGAATGCTACTCTTATTTCCCCTTTTTTTGTTTTGTCTCTTTTGTGATCAATGTGGACGGATACTTGAATTGGGGTGTATAATGGATTAGGAAATCGGTTTTGTGAGAAATTTCGGAGCATTTATTGTCTAATTTAATCATTTTTTCTTAAACGTTTATATGTGTTTAATGGTAACGTGTCTTGATGCTTTATGTTTGTGCGGATGTTCATCCCTGGTAGCTTTATTTTTTTTTTTCCCTCAAGTATTTTGTCTTGGATATTTTTTTTCCCTCAAGTATTTTGTCTTGGATAAAGCAGCCTTTCATTCGTAAGGCGGAAGCAGGTCTTACTTAGAGAATTGTTTTTTATTCTTTCACCATGCCCTTATTCCTTAGATTTGAGATATTGGTTGAGAATTTTTTTGTTAAAATTAAACGTTTTCTTTTTTTGAAGTTTGGAGGGAATGAATTTCAACTTCCTTTGACAATTTTTTGTCCTGTATGCTTAATCGAATATCTTTGTTTGCTTCGGAATTCTAGTGGAATGAAATGAAAAAAGGATGGAGAAGCTCAAAGTAATGGATAGAAATTCATTATCAACACCTACTTGATTGGAATTTTATTTCATTTCCTTTGATACATATAATACTATAATATTTTGTAGATTCATGCTCACATAGAAAACCACTAAAAAAAAAGAAGGGAGCCTAAGTACCATTTCTACATATAGCAGCATGCTGACTGTAATGTGACGTGCATTGGTGCATGATGCATAGTTGATTAACAAGTTTCGACTTCTTGTTGATGTGCTTCCTTTTGTACCCTTTTCAGCATCTTGTTGACAGCAAAGTTTATAAACTTGTAGAATTCTAAGTAGGCATTTAAATGGGTCATGAATTGATATAATTAACTTCGAATCAAAGGCTTATTGGGATTGACTAATATTGACCCTTCATTGTATCAAATAAGGGCTATTGCATGATATTCTAGCTGCTTTGAATCAAAAGATGACCTAGTATGTTATTGCCTATCTCCAATCTACTTCACTTCATCCAAAGTAACTGACATTCCTTCCCTTTGGTCTACCTAAGAGCTTGATAGAATTTAAATAAACAATCTCTTTTGCAAGAGGATAAGGTTTTTGTTCATTCCACATTAATAGTGGCCATGGTATTGGTGATTGAATGAAATAGAACCAAAACACTAATTGAGACGATCACAGAGACAGAGGAACCAAGCTTTCTGTCGCCCTTATTTTTGTAGTTCTTTCTTTCTAATGCAATCATCCTTATGTTCAATCTATTATTGCACCCCTTCATGATAGGCCATAGAATCAAGAGGGGGAATGGAAGGATGATTGGTTTGATGATGGAAGAGTTTAAAAGTTGGGCCTAATGCATGTGATATTTGTGTCAGTGATAGATGCAGATGGTGATAGTGTTAGCATTGGAGAGAGACAAATGTATTTGGCAGCAAAGATGATGGTGATAGTTCATAATTGATAAAGAGGATGATGGGAGTGAAATTTTGAGAGATGGTATTGGTAGCAGAGTGGTTTGGTTCTGTAACAAATGGGTAGTGAAAGTGCTTGTGATGGAGACAAATGGGCCCATGTAGCAAAAGTTGACACAAGAAGGGATGGCGTTAGATTGATGGAGATTGGTGCAATGATGTTAGTAATTCAGAGGGTTTGTGGTGCTGATGGAAAGGAGGCAGGTGCAAGTTTGCGATCTAGTGTGTAGGAGAGAAAGCGAGGCATGTAGAACTAAGAGGCTTTCCAAAGTGTTGAGTAGGTTAGATTTTTTATATAAATTGTTTAATCAAATTTGAAATCACAAGTTACAAATAAAGTTGAAAACAAAAAGGTGATGGTGGTTGATAATGGAGAAATGTGATGGTGTTGACATTGAGAAAGGGGGAGAGATCACAATTGAGAGGGATGTTGGAGGTGATAGAGAGGTGTAATAGAGATGTTAGATGGGGAAGGATGAGAGCGATGTTGACAGAGAGATCGTAGCGATGTTGACATAGAGAGATCATAGCAAATTGACCATAGAGATGGATGAAAATTAGCATTGCAACTCAAATTAGTTAAAGTGGTGATTGCAAGGAGGTGGAAGTGAAATTCTGAAAGATGGCATTGGTAGCTGTGAGGGGGTTCGGGGTTTTAACATAAGGGTAGCGGAAGTGCTAGTGATAGAGAAAATGAGGTGAATGTAGCAATGTTGACAGAACAAGGAATGGCTTCAGATTGACGGAGATTGGTGGCAATGATGCTAGTAAATCAGAGGGTTTGTGGTGTTGATGGTGAGGAGGCGGGGTTAAGTGTGCTATCAAAACAATGTAGGAGAGAGGGTGAGGCTTGTAGAACTGGTAAGAAGCTTTCCAAGGTGTGAATAGGTTAGATTTTTTATATATATTGTTTAATCAAATGTGAATATTTAAATTACAAGTTACAAATAAAGTTCAAAACGAAAAGGTGATGGTGGTTGACAATGGAGAAACATGATGGTGTTGACATTGAGATCACAATTGTGAGCGATGTTGGTGGTGATAGAGAGGGGTAGGAGAGATGTTAGATGGGGAAGGATGAGAGCGATGCTGCATAAAGGGATCACAGCAAAATGATCATAAAGATGAATGAAAATTTACATAGCAGCTCAAATGAGTTAAAGTGGTGATTGCAAGTAGGTGGACAACATTTTTGTCTATGGGTATAGGACGAAAGGAGGGGTGATATGGTTAGTTTAATGTTAATTATGCCAGTGATTTGATCCAGATTGTCCTATCAAATATTGAGGTGGTGAACATAAGTATTAGATCTTTATATCTATACATTTATTTAGTTGGCTAGCTAGTTTACATACATTTATGCGTCAAATTTTAGTATGGCACTTTGAAATATTGATTGGGTCCACTTTGTTTCATTCTGATAAGTTGGAAGTGGATCAAATCATCTATTCATTTTTTAAAAAATTTACATGTATTTCTGTACCAATCAATTCTTATTTAAATTAGTCTGGGGTGGGTGTATTTAATATATGTTGGACTATTATCATTCTTATTGTAAAAAATATTCGGAAATAACTCTTCAACCTGTAAAAGGAGTGTGATTAGACTTCAGACCATGTCTAGAACTTGATAGTATTTGAATGGTAAATTTTGTGATTCATTGCAAAATGTGTAATGCTTTCTTGATATCATGTATATGTCCAAGCAATGAAGCTATATGGTGCATATATGTGATTGTACATAATCTTATCAAGGAGATGATAGAATTGAAATTGGGTTGGGATGTCATAATGATACTCTTTTGACATGGAGGGAGGGAGAATATAAGAGTATGTACTAAAATTCGAAACATGACCCATTTTTAGAGGAAGGGCTAAACCCACTATCAGTATTGCTGAACATGTGGCACTAAACCCACATGATTGATGATCAAGCATGCAATTTCTTGCGGGCAGTTTCAACAAAACAGATATTTTTTATTTTGATTAAAATATATTGTCTTTTCATACCACTCAATTCTTTAATGTCACATTAAAAATATCACCATCACTATATTTTTAAAAGTGAAATACACTTTTTGATGCATAGACTTATGACACCAATGTGTTATAAGTGTAAATATCAAACTTTGGCTGTTAGATATGCAAATGCATAGGAATTGTGTAGTATGTATGTAAATTTCCTATTTATTTTTTTATTTTAAGCTTTCATTTTGTAACTCAAAAGAAGTAAAATTATTGTTTGACTACCTCCGTGGCAATGAAAATTTTCCACTCAACATGTAGCTTTTGCATATGCACCTCAAATGATGCAATTGATTCACAAGACGATGCATGCATTATAAGGAAATGAGCTTTATTTGCAAACTTAAGTATTGTTTAATCACTTAAAAAGGGAATTGCCAATATGCTTTCTGAAATATTGTAGAAAAGATTCAATCATATGTAGATTATAATTCTCGATGCATGAATTATTTTCTATAAGACAATACATTTTCAGGACTATTGCTTATTATTTTAATTTATCCATTAACTTGTCGACAGAAGGATGTTGAAATGGTTAAGTTAGGGTGTCGGCGATAAAAAGTGGGGGTTTGGGGAGAGTTGCCCGTAGGAAGCTGTCGGCCACTGAAATCGAAATCTCGTCGCTCACTTCCAAAAGACGTTTTAATTTACATATAGATTTGAGTTTAAAATCAAATATGAAAATCAAACTGATCCTATATTTTTTATAGTTTAAATGAAAGAGCGTTTTGCCTCAAATCCTGTATCCATTCTGAGGGATAAACACAAGACTTGAGGATGAGACTCGATCAAATAAACTAAGAAATACATAACGTCCGTTTGGTCTGCGAAACCCTTTTATTTGCCGTTAAAACGGACGTCATGTATTTCTTAGCTTATTTGATCGAGTCTTATCCTCAAGTTTTGTGTTTATCTCTCTATAAGTGCAAATCCCTATAGTTAATTACATCTTAAATGACCGAAATCACTTAAGAATACTCTCGATAAAAATCAAGAAAAATTATCTTCAAGTATTTCAAAAGGATAGGTTTCAAAAGAATAGGACTTTTTAACGAAATCAGACAAAGAGGTGTGCAAAAGGGGAATGACTCAAATTTGGAACATTTATTACAGAATCCAAATGAGTAAGAGCTAGGGGATGCGACAAATTTGGAGGAGATCCTCGGTGACTTCTCAGTCTACCCTATGGTTTGACTTTAGTTTCGAGGAGAAATTATTCAAATGTTTCATCCTACCAATTTTATTTAATTGAGGCTTACATTCGTGTGAAACGATCCTACAAACGACCCGATAGATGTGAGGATTTATGTCATAACGAACGACAACCTCAAAATTCTAAAACGAGTTAGGGCTTAGATCGTATAACAGAGCTACACAAATGTCTAACGAAAAGTTGAGGATTTATGTTGCGTTAGGCAAACAAC